AGGATAGAAGTGATCTGCATTACAGAGTAAACAAGAATGGGTGGAATTACAAATGCTATTCTTGGCACTAAAGTTGGCATCTTGAGGAATGACACTTTGTGTGACTTGGGAACGTGGTCCCTCCCATCATTCTCAGTGGGGCTGCCTGCTAGTATAACCTGGCTCTCCAAACCCAAAGAAATAAAGCCTCTGGCTTGAACAAACTTACTCCTCAGGATTAAAAAGAAGAAAAAAATTCCATGTTAATTAGCCCTTGAAAGCAAAGTCCAATTGTAATCTCTCCATGGCCTGGTAGATACTGCAAAAACTGAAGGAGTTTGGGACAGGGGTTTGAAGAAAGCCAAGACTATGAGGAATTATAAATACTCAGTTAGGAAAAGAAGTACTCGGATACATATTTTTAAAATAAAGAAAAAGATAAGAAGGGGAAACAGGGTAAACATGAATGAGTATGGGCAGATTTAATTGCGTTGGGAGGGGAGGGATTTGAAAAGGGAAGGAGGATTGTTTTTCTTCAGGAAATGAATAAATAAATGCTGTAACATGCAGTACGAAACTTTCACTGCAGCACAGGTAACAGGAACCGTCAACTTACAAAAGAAAAAAAAGTCAGCAATTTCTCTGCAACATTTAGGGGCCAAACCCACTGCAAAACACCTGAAGGTAGAAATCAGCTGCCCAAAGAAGGGTGCCAGCCCTGGCCATTGCCCCAGCACATGGTGTATCCAAGTCCAGCAGCAGCTTTGCAGGAGATCATTGGCTGCATCTTTACCCATATCCATGCTGTCCAAGCATCCCTGAGATGTTAATTTGGCAACGGTCTCGTTGCCTGCAGGGATTCTGCTTGGCAATACCCTGCACTTACTGGGGCACGGGCATGAGAATCTGGCTGCCAGTGCTTTCTGTTTAGTGACTCTTCCCTGACGCTCTGCACGTGCAACATGTTGAATTCAGAGCAATATTGGATTCGCACCAGTGAAAATTTTTTTCTTGATACCACACATTTTGGAGAGGGACTTGTCCCCACTGATCACTCAATATTAATTCAACCCTCCCCTAGCACCCACTAGTATGTCACACTGGGGCCCCTCACGGGCTCCTGCTAATCAATTTATGTGCACATCAACTCCCTCCTGTGAGGCAGATGGCATAAGCAGAGACTTGCTGCAGGGTGGCGATGGTGGAAGGTGGAGGCAGAGCAGGCAGTTAACTCCCAGGGAGGGAAGGAGACACAGACCTGAGCTGACAAGGACTCGGGATGTGGCAACGTCCTCCCTGTGGCATCCCTATGCTCTTTATTTCTCCCTGCTATTGTGTGCATAGGGCTGTGTGACGTTGGCACACATCTTTTCTTTTACCCAAAGCCTGAGTGACTGCTTGGTGTGTCTGCAGCCAGTGGGGATTTGCTGGTGTGAGTGTACTCAACCATGTTTCAGCCTAAGTCAGCAGCTCACAGGTGAGACACAAGGTTTAAGGGAGCAGTTTTGATGCATCTCAAGCACATGCCCCTCATAAATGGTTTTGCTTTGTGGATTGAGCATTGGGGATTGCTTTCTGGATGGTTTCATTGAAGCTATGGCAGAGACACAAGGCTGGGCATGTCACAAGGAACTGCAATATGTTATGGGACCAGGAAAGGCTGCCCACAAAAAGTGCACGTCGTTTCTGCCTAATAGAGGCTCTCAGGCAAGGATCCCCAGCCTGAGTTTGCAGAGCTACTGCTATCACTGAGGGGAAGCAGTGGCAGCAGAAGCCCCAGATCTGGGTGCCCAAACCCATCACCTTTTCTCCCAGTATTGGCAGCCATTGCTTTTGTGGTAGTTTCTGGCCCTACCTCCTTCCCTAATGTGGTGGTGGTTTGTACAGACCTGAGATGGATCATACACATGGGCAGCAGCTGGGTTTTGGAACCCTTCTTCTGTGAGAGACCTGTAGCAAATCAATGCTCCATGCTGAGGTATGTTTGGCTATTTAAGCGGTTGCTACCACCCCAGGCATTTTTTGCTTTACCTGGGGAAAAGATATTTTTATGTATCATTTTCAGCACATGAAAATAACGTATTGCAGCCAGGGATCCTCTGTGGCTTGAGGATGTCCTGCACTGGAGCAGATTTGGATGCACTGTCCTGTCTTACAGATTAAATCACGGTACCTTCTCGCTGTCTGGGCTTCTTGCTACCATTGCCTAAGGTGGGTAAGTTTAAACCAGATCCAATATTTCTATAAGAGATGCAGTTTCACTGTTGACTGCAGTGTTCTTCTGTTGAATCCTCTTTGACAGTCAACTCAATGACATATTTGGAAAACAGCCCTTCCCGGCTTTTGAGAGACTTTATCTCATGCAGCACTTGGTAATCGGTCTCTACCTTCCTGATCGATCAGATTCAACCTCAGAATGACTGTTATGATGTTGAAAAATAAAATCCAAGTTTATATAAGATGCTTTACCCTTTAGAAGACAGACACTAGACAGAGACGAGCTATTACAACTCATAGAAGACTTTTTTTTCATAAAGCGCATGATGTGTCAGTGTTGAAAGACTAATACAGGCTATGTTTAGAAAAGCTATTTCCAGCAGGAAAAGCAGCATTACAGCACTGCTTTTTCTGTTCTCCCCCCTTCCACTGTCTTATTTACAACAGCTTGTTTCCCAATCTTCCTTCAGGGATCTCATCGTGCTCGTGTCCACATGAGATATTGCAGTGAGACGGTCTTCCTTGGCTTTGTGGATGGCACATCTACTTGAGTTGTTCCTCTCTGCTTCCCCTCTTTGGGACTGCATTAGACATGGGCCATTTGCTTTTCCCACGGAGGTCCCATCCGTCTCCACACATGCTGCTGGTGACTAACTGCTGAGATGGATTCTGCCTCCAGCCATTGAGGTGTAGAAACCTCTTCGACTCCAACAAACATTTTTGTGCTTTTCTTTAAATTGCTCATAGTCTATAAGAAAGTTTAATCTTGATTATTTCAAAGATTTGTCTACATTTGAGGAAACCAGCCTTTCAGGACAGTAGTACAGTGCAGTATGTACATTTTTTCCTGTCTTGCTGTCTCAGCAAGGATTCTCCATCAGGGACAGACGTCTGCCCTCTATGCATGAGGATCTCATACCCCTTAAAATGCCTGTGAATATCCCAAAGCTCTGCTCAGGAAATGCCCATCCTTTTGGAGCAACAGCTGGAAGCCCAGCACAATACTGGGCAGTGCCTAAAATGACACTAGCAGTCTACTTGTAATCACAGTGTCTCCTTTTCCTACAGTCCTCAGTTAAACAGTCATAATTGTAGATGCATACAGCATAGACAGTTGGACATACGAAGGCAAGGGAGGGTTGGCCCATACAGCAGGTCTGAGATGCCTCGTCTCGCACCAAGTAAACTCATTTTCACAGTGACAGATTTATACAGCACTTTTATGTTGCCCAGAAGACATGACTTATCTGAAGGGTTAGCTGCTGAGTGACTAATGCTGAATTTGCCCACAGCAACAGCTGCTCTTCTGGCCAGTCTCGTGAAGGACGCTTCCTTGTTCTTATTTAAAAGCTTTCATGGATCCCACTCATGATCATGTGCTGGGGCACACCTGGAATATGGGGTAGCACTGAACAAGCACTACCTGGTTTGGAAATGCTGAAATTAAGGTCTTCAAGCTCAGGGACTGGCCCAGTCCTACAGCTCCACAACTATAGTGCCATTTTAGAAACTCATATCATAAACATAACTAAATTAAGGAGTCTCAGTCTTGAGCTGATTCCCACCTCTCATGCCTAAATCAGACTGAATCCCATCCCAACTCTTCTTTTGTTGAGACGTCCACTTTAGCCAAAGCATAATGTAATCTGTAATGACGATGCAATAACCAAATAATTGCTCTGTAATGATGATGCAATAACCAAATAATTGCTCTGCTTGTAAGATTACATGGTATAATTAATTCACCACCTCACTGTCATGACACTGCAATTCATAAAATGGACAAATTTCAAAGCATTTTATTACCTAAATATTGTACAGCACTGTTCATAGCTATGCATTGTCCACTAATTTCTGTGCATGTTGCATGGAGATGTCAGGATAGACTTAGTTTCCAAATACATGTTTTTCTTCTTCAAGGGGTATTTCTCTCTGCTTTTAAATTTGCTTTCATTTTATAGAATCATAGAATCATTTAGCTTGGGAAAGACCTTTAAGATCATCGAATCTAACTATAAACCTAACTGCCAAGTCCACCACTAAACCAGGTGCCTAAGTGCC